AAGTATAAAGTAAATAACAGCAGCACTTTTGAGACTAACAATATATAATTTATTCTCTAGCTTTCGTCCACACAGTGGACTTCAGCCTCTCCTGATGAAGTCCACTGTGTGGACGAAAGCTAGAGAATAAATTATATATTGTTAGTCTCAAAAGTGCTGCTGTTATTTACTTTATACTTATCATAGCAAAAATGTAAAAAAGTAATACAGTTGAACTTGCCTAAGTCAAATTCAAAATGGCATTGAAAAACTGTTCAACTTAAATGAAATTTGACTTTACAGATTGTTAATTAATAGAAAACACAACAATTTGGCATGTAAAATAATATCGACTTAGAAATTATTTGACTAACAAAGTCGACTTAGGCAAGTTTAAATGTAGAAAATAAACCCCATAACCAAATGGTTTTTTTAAACTCTGCAAATTCTAAAATTATCTCATTACATTTGAGACCCCCATTTGCACTCATCATTTTCACTTATGAGTTGACCTGCCAGGCTTTTTGGCACTTCCTGACCTACATCTGACATGATCTGTTGTTAGTTAAATTGACCTTCAGGAATTTTTTATAAATTTCAGTATGATACAGCATTCCTAGGTATTCCTGACTGCTCAATCAACAGCTAGGCCTACTCATAGAGTGCTAGTATATTTCATACATCCAACAGTTTATGAGAATAGAATGGAAAGATATTCCTCTGGCTTGTAAATTAATGTTGAGAATATAAAATATGACCACACAGCAATGTCATAACTTCTGGTTACATATTAAAAGGTTTTTTTTTTTTTTTTTTTTTGAAGCCACATAGTACCTTGTCATAAAAGAGACTATGGCGACTTAAATTACTTCTTGTTTAGATTGAAAATATGAAGTTATAACTCCTCTTCCTCAGAATTATATAATACTTATACAATATTACATATCCATTTTCTAATCCTTATAATCTTTTTTTTTTAAGGGTGAATTGATAGTGTTCATTTTGTTTTTATCATTTCAGGGTATGTCTCTAGATTGTGTTGAAATTTCCCTGTCGAAAGTTTTCGAGTGCGGCCAAGCATACGTAGCTTTATCAAGGGCACGCAGTCTAGAAGGACTGCGTGTGGTGGATTTTGAAAAGTCGTGTGTCAGAGCGCACCCAGATGTTTTGAAATTTTACCACAATCTGCAAGTACGTCAGCAAATGATGGTACAGGCACCTATCAAGAAATATGGAAAAGAGAGTAACTCATTACGGTGATACAGGTGCATGTCAAGAAGAATTTAAATGAGACTTAACTTATTACAATAATGCAGGTGCTGATCAAGAAATATGTAAATGAGACTAACTTATTAAACTAGTGCATGTACATTTTATCATAAAATATGTAAATGAAACTAATTTATTTTGAAAATGGAGGTGATTTATTAATAACAATGGTAGAAATACTTATTACATAGATGTTGATGCCAATCAAGAAATATGTAAATGAGACTAATGATGATCCAGGTGCCTATCCAGAATTATGTAAATGAGATTAAATTATTACGGTAATGCAAAGCTTTGATCATGAAGGATAACAATTTTGACATCATTTATTATGGTGGTAAGTGAATTGATAATATTAAATGTAAAAACAATATTTTACTGAACATTATGAAGAGATAAAATGTTTGCAATGCAATGATTTTATATGAGGCAATAGAGTAATATCCCTCCTTTGGGATACTCCATTAAGGGGACACCCTAATAAGGGAACATTTTTTAGGAAAAGGGGGCTGGGGACACAAATATCAGAAATGTACATCTCTTAAAACTGCAGCCAATCCTTAATAAGGGAACACTTTTTTTTGTTCCTTAAGTTGTCCCCTTAATAGGGGATTTAGTGTATTGTATTTTCAATAGTGTTTGTGTATGTACAGTATTATATTTGTAAAATCAAATTACTAAATTAATCTTCATATTATTTCTATATTATTATTATTATTATTATTATTATTATTATTATTATTATTATTATTATTATTATTATTATCATGATGATTACAGGTCTCCCTCCAATTAAAAACAACTTTTAAGATTTTAATGGTCTTTGGTCCTTAATTAGAAAAATAATAACAAATAATTTTCATTATTATTCTCTTTCAAGAAGTGAAACATATAGAATGGTTCTACATAATTTTTTTTTAGATATAATTTGCCCTGCATATATGTATTATTATTGACCGTGTTTACAGTGATTTGTGTTATCATGGACATTAAAAATGATGTACTGTGATTGTATTGTCAAATGCAAAGCATCTTAAAATTCTAAAAGTTAAGTTGGTAAAGTATTACAGTATCCTCATCAGCACCTTTTTTGGACAGGTGCTGCAACCACTTTTTTTCTTAACCACAAAATTAAAATATACCTGTGTCCCTCAATAATGAGTATTGAAAAAAGTCCTCACACGCACAATATTATATACATTGTATGCATGTAGATTTGTAAAAAAAATTGTAAATAAATTATGATACAGAATCTCAAATGTTATAGTTATCTTTTGTTACGTTATGCAAAATCCAGTCCATAGCTATGTTATGTTGGTCACTCTTTTAAGCCTGTCGTTTATTCGATCTTTCTGGAGTGTCAATCAAACTTAACAACTGACCAACCATAGCAGAGCTAGGAGTGCGCGTGCTGTCTCACAAACAAACGGGTTGTCCCACAAACGCACATTTTCGTCAGTGATTTTCGGGATTTTTTTACACAGTCGTTTTGTTGGGACCTTATAGTAATTCAAAGGGAGGGACTTTGTACAAAGGTCCACAGTGCTGGGGTCCCCCTACCGATGTGGTGTGGGGAGAGTTGGGGGTGAGTAGACACATAGCTATCGTCTGGCAAATAACCTTTTAGGAGTGAATCCGATGGTAGAGGAATGATGTGATGGGTCATAATCTAAAGAGTTAAAAATGAAAATTAGTTTACGATGATGTCCATGCTAGATCACATCCTGTCCTAGTTTATTTATTCAAGTGAATAAACCAACACAAAAAGCTAATATATCTGTAGCATATTTTGAGAGTTGGGAATCCCATTCAACCCCCCCCCCCCTCCCCATTGGGAATTTGCTGAACAAAAATCTACAATAGAGCTTAAAATTGCATCCTCTCCCCACTTCCATCAATCATTGGTGGCCCACTCCTAAAGGCCAGTTTTCCACTAGGCGAATTTATTCGCGCGAATCAGAAGTCTCATTCTTCAGCGAAATAGTAGTTCCAACTGTTTCTACTTTTTGCGAAAGCAAAAAAAAAAAAAAATGTGCAACCAATCAGAGCTCGGGAAGTAAATCGACGCTTTAAATGCAGAGTGTTCTTTTTTTTTTTTTTTTTTTTCGTGGGAATATTCTTTGTTTAGTATCTGAGTTTAGTTTATTAAACAGGCCCGTACGGTGGTTGGGGTGGGAGGTGCGACAGGTGGCATAACCTTTCAAATTTTTTCAATGAACAATTTGGCCCTATTTCAATGAGAATCCCTTAGGCCTAATTTATATATTTTCATTAAAAAGAAAAAAAAAATACCAACAAATTAATAATTTATCCAATTTATGGATTTTTTTTTTTAGTGAAACTTACTATTTTTTTTAATTTGTGATTGGAAATTAATAACTTATTTGTCCTTTTAAATGAGCTAATTTTAATTTAAATTGGTGTTTACCATGATTTAATTTCCCGTATGAATAAAATCAAACCGTACTGGGTTGGTCGATAGAATTTTGTGTTTTCATCAGATCGTTCCATTCATAGAAGATATCTTTTTAATTGAGAAAGCATAACTGTCGTTTTAGTGTCACACTATTAAACATTACTCTGGCTATATAAAATTAATGATTGAAAATTGCTAATCTTATTATTGTAGTGACTACTATGTTCACATATGAATTAATGTTATTTATTAATTAATATTACTGTATTTATTCGCACACACCACATCCACACAAAAATCGAACAAAAATATAACCTCCTTACGGAGGAAAAAAATCAACTGAAATTTCTCCTTGTGAAGGTAATATGTCTTTATCAATATTTATACAAATTCTCTGAATTTGCCTATACTATATTTTCTTACATTTTCTTATTACAATTCTCTCAAAGTTCTATCATATTATTTTTGATTACTATTCACTTCCATACTTCTTTATCTTTCCGGTACTTATTTTCTCGCATTTCTTTCTCCACTCATTTAGTTGCTTGAATTCTATACTTACCTTTTCATTCCTTTCCTGTTATTATTTCTCTGTCTCTCTTTTCCTTTCCTTTCTACGGAGCTCCTAGAGGGACCTTTCTTACTATAATTTTATCTTTCTTTTTCGTTCTTTTTTTCTTTTCTTTCATTTTGCTTTAGTTTTTCTTCTTTTCCTTATCATTTGTTTTAATCTTTCAATTTGTTTACTTTCATCTTTTTCTTATTTTCTTTTCTTCCTTATTTTCGTTTGTTTATTATTATTATTATTATTTTATTATTATTATTATTATTATTATTATTATTATTATTATTGTTGTTATTATAATCATCATTATTGAATTACATAAAATGTAGGAATAATTATAATTCTATGGCAGTGAAGAATAAATAGGCCTAGGCCTACAGCACACGAGAGATTGAGTTAAGATGTCAAAGGTCAAGTCAATCAAAATCAAGATGGCTGCGCTGTGTGATGGGCATGATGGAAGTGATGACATGCTGGAACCAATGGAACCTTCTGTGAAAAATATAATTGACCAGACTTCTTTAAAATGGATATTTGTAGGCGGTAAAGGAGGAGTGGGGAAAACAACTTGCAGGTTAGTTAGTCTAGCCACAGGACTATCTAACTTTAAGCTAGGCCTAGGGATCCACTCATCCTCGTTAATTACACGTCACACACAGGACGATTGGGCCCACGACAAGACGGTCGGGTCCGCATTGCCTTATAAATTTATTTAACGTAGGCTTACAGATATTATTATTGGTATTTAAAAGTGATCATATATTTATTTATTCTATTATTTCGGTACATAGGCCTTTTCCACGAATCGGTAGACATCTTGAAATTGAAGTGCCTTTTAAATTTATTTAACGCGTAGCCTAAGCCTAGGGGCCTAGCCTAGCTAGGCCTATGCCTACAGATATTATTATTAGTATTTACTAAGAATCGTTATTAAAGTGATCATATATTTATTTATTTTATTATTTCGGTACATAAGCCTTTTCCACGAATCGGTAGATATCTTGAAGTAATGACATTGACAAACATTGCGAATCAGATAATAAGATAAGCTTTTGTTTTGGGCTGATTTTCTGACATCATTTCATGTTATTTAAAAAATCATAACTCCATAACAGGGCGTATTCAAAAAAATTTTTAATTCTTAAACGACTAGTCTACACCACTATATGATTGAAAAAAAATTAAAAAATGGTTTTGACCTCTGAAATCAAGATGGAAAAAGAAAAGCCTATCTAAAAGAATCTATTAGTAATTGTATTTAAAATAGGTCTAGGCCTATGCATTACAGTGCAGTAGTACTTAATACTCAGAACTAGCATTGTTTTAGTTACTATATGAGAGGTTCCTATGTTAAAAACATGATTTACTATACTGTTGGAGAAGTATAGTATAGTATACTATACTTCTTTATAAAACATAACTCGTACTTATAATAAGAGAAATCTGTATATTATTATTATCGGTACCTGAAACAGTAACGACACGAAAATACTATGCCACAGTACTGCACTGAATGCATTTTAATACACTACTGTACTTAGATAGGCTTTTCATTTTCCATCTTGATTTCAGAGGTCAAACACATTTTTAAATTCTTTTTCAATCATATTATAGTGGTGTAGCCTAGTATTAAAGAACATTTTGCTGGAAACATTTTTTGGATATGACACCATGTTATTATGGAGTTATGATTCTTTAAATAACATGATGTCAGAAAATCAGCCTATAAGTTTATCTTATTGTTGGTTACGCACCGCTGATTCGCAATGTTTGTCATCACTTCAAGATGTCTAACCGATTCGTGGGAAAGGTCTATCAAACAAACTAACAAATACAAATGACGACAACAGTAGTGAGGAGTCATGTTGAAAAATGATTTTGCCTACAGTCTGATGATTGGGCCCACAAGACGATCTATCAGACAACAGTTGGCTGAAATGATTTTACCTTCAGTCTACCGGGCCTGTTTTCAGGACGATCTGGCGGTACTGGCAGATTGTCTCAGGGCCCAGTCTGTAATTCCCAGTGGCAACGCCAGCATCTGAAATCTGGGTGGGGCAAAGTAAAATTTCAGGGGTGGTGCAAAATGCTGGGTCTAGGCTAGGCTGGAGGTACTTAGTTAGAATCATGCTTAGCTAGGACCAGACCCAGATGATTGAATCCATGAAGGGGACCATTAAAGATCCTTATGTCCATATCTTTGTTCTCATGGGTAGCTACAGTAGGAACACATTTGTGTGAGGGTGCTTGTCAAAATCCTGAATAGGTAAATGTCACCATATCGGAAAATGTAGGTTTACAAAGGACCAAATAAATTCAAAAGCGTAAACAAAGTACATTGAATGCTAGAATAAGTAAATAAACACTATTTTCAGCAATCGTCGTGTCTTTTCTTGCCAGTTACTGTATTTCTCACGTTAATGGTGGGTGAATGTTTTCAAAACCATAACATTACCCTTTCCTTTACTTTAACACTGATTGTACTGTTAATTCGACCAACTATATGTCAAGTGACCACCTGTAAACAAACCTCGCAGAATGTGTCTATTATACAAAACAAAAAATAGAAATAACTCATTCTCATTAACATTACAGGTATGAAAATATCAAAGATTAATACTGTATATTAACTTTTATATTGATATTTTTGATGTAATTTAATAAGATTCTGTGCCCCGAGTATTTAAATGCCTAGGCTGGGCAGGGTTCGAAAATAACGCTGGTCCGCCAGCCAATGGCTAGTAAAATACTTGGCGCACCTGTCCCAATAACAAGTCCGCATGACCAGTTAAAATTTCAATGAAAGTCCGACGAAATACCTAGTTTTACTTATTCACCTATTAACGATGTCTTTACAAAATATTCCACACAGATAATGTCAACAAGATCTCTATTTTCTGTTTATTGTCATGTTAATGTCAGCTATGAACAGCCTTGGGCTCAGTCATTCAAGGCGAACAAATGAACATCACGCACTAGCTAGACCAGAGAGGAATTCATGGCTAGACGTACAGAGGGAAATCACCTTCTCCAGCATCTGCTTGTCACATGTTACAGGGAGAAGTTGATTTCCGTCTGTGTGAGCACCGTCATGTATCCATCCCACAATACAACGTGGGACAAAAAGTTAATAAACAACGCAACAATTTCCGGACGAAATAACACAATAATCATCGCTGGCAAGGATTTAACAACTTGGCCTAGCACAACACCCTGTGAATGAACCATTCGTACAGAGCACAGTCCCAATAGCGTTGTCATGGAGATTATCTATAGTGTACTTAAAACGACACACCAGTAAAATGTTAGATAAAGTGAAATGCCCCTTTTACACTGCAAGCAACATTCCGCACATAACCCCGGATTTTCCAATACCCGGGTTAAAATCTCCCGAGTTGTGGTTAAAGTCTGACTCGGGTTGCCAAGGTTAGGTTAGGACAGAGCTCGTCGGGCAGTCAGACCATAAAACATATAAAAATAGACCCACAACAAGCCAACACATGTCTGTCACAGTCTGAGAGTGCCATTTTCGGCCATCTAGAGGTTGATATTCTTTAAAAAAATCTCATTTGGGAGGGGGAACCCCCTCCCAACCGCTTCTCCCAGCTCGAGCCTACGAGCTGAATTCCCCCTGTCGGACAACTTAACCCCACCAGAAAATATATCCGAAGGTCCTGCCACTGGTCCTGTGTAAAAGGGGTAAAAGTTACGCCTTCCATTGTTTTAATAAAGTACATTACCGCCTTATGAATACTTAAAAATCGATTGTAATCAACCTGAAATGTAAAAGGAACTCAAAGCAATTGTTTCTACGACGGCTCTTTTTCAGTAGACGTTTAATTAGGATTTGGTATGTTGTTAGATTCATGTCAGTCTACTGTACATGTAAATACAAATGCATTGCTTCACTCACATTCCCCAAAAACATTGCTAATCACAGAGGAAATTTGCAGAGAATGAAATTTAAATTTGTTAGATTTATTTAGATTTGACTCTAAAACTAACCACAAGGGTTTCTCATTTATTTTAATAAATCTGTTTAATTAAAAATTTATCAGTTTACACTAAGCTTGTTTCTGTCAGCAAGCTGTCACGCACTATGAAACTTAGGGCGATCAGACGTAACCACAGCCAAGCAGATGGGATGTTTGCCCAGCTGCATGACCCCACGGAAAAAATTAACCAATTAGCGGGCAGAGTTTTGGAGGCGTGACCTGATATTTACAACAAGTCGCATTGTGACCACAAAGAATGTGTTGTGTTTACAGTTTAGAAAAAAAAATTCAGACCAAAAATGCACGTAAAAACAATATAAAAGCAATCATTTTATTGGTACAGTAATTCAAGTTGCTTGTGCACTACAGCTAAACAACAGGTACTGTACGTATTATATGTCAAATAGTATGTTACCTTTTCGTAGGCTAATCATACCGAAGTCACTATTTTTTTGCGTCTAAGCTAGGCCCTAACTGGCCTACCTTATTCGGAAAGGATTCAATAGAAATTTTCCACAAACCGATCTTTCCGGAAAACTGAACGTCGCACCAATCCGGGGGAGGGGGCTATTGTGAGAGTGCACTGTACATACAAATAGATTCCTGTATTTATATTTCACGGCATAATTTCATACAGAGACAACAGAACGATTTTTCTGTATCTGTCAGTGTTACTTCATCGGCGATGGGCAGCATGATTAACATATCACAAATATGATATTTGGGCCTTCCGAAGTTGGCAAGATACTGTAGTGGCTAGTGAAAGGGATGGAGGACCTATAAAAATATTATTTTACTGGTCCACTTGGCTAGTTAAAAAGAACCTTAAAAGGGAATCCCCTGCTGGTTAGAGTCTGAGCCACTCTAGGCCGCGATACAAGTGATGTGTCATCTTGTAGCCTACTAGAATGCGTGCAGAGAGAGTAGACATCCCATCTAGGCTTAGCTAGGCTATACGAGCGGTGCATGCATATGGTGACACATTTAAGATCTGGCCAACGTAAATCTAGAAAAACTTTATTAAATTTAGCATAACCTCTGTAAATATTCAACCAATTTTGTCATCTACTGTAAACAGTAGATTGCTCACATCAATGTGTTCTTTCCATTGAATTAATGTGAAACTATATTTGAAGTCAATTGAAGGATAATATTTTGTGTGCTCCTAGCCTGAGACCTTTTTTATTCCTTGTTTTTTTTTAAAGATTATCAGAGGAGGGCAAAATAAAAATAAAAATAATATTTAGTTTTCTTATTTAGCAAATAGTTTCACCAAAATCATCCAGACAGAAGAGAAAATAAAAAGAAAAAATTATTGGTGAATGTAAAATAGGATGGTTAAGTGCTTCAACTTTATATTAGCAGGAAGAAATGTACATATCCTATCTTTGGAGATTTCAAGGCAGCGGAGGGCATAATAGAAATAAAGATAAACTTTATTTTTCTGAAATTTCCACTTGTTCGCGGCAGCGGGTGCACTAATTAGTCAAAAATAAAATTTTATTTTTATTTGAAATCATTAATATTGCAGTTGGTTGGTTCACTAAAACAAGGTATAAAAAAAGTCTCTCCTAGCTAACAATAACACGGGCATGGCCTTGTTAGAAAGTAAATCTCACACACACAGACCTTGGCTGGCTTGTTTTAATTTCATATACTGTAAGTGTAATAATAATTATTAAAAAATGTAATATTCTTCTATCTATCCTAGGCCAGAATTGGGAAGTGGTAGAGGGGGAATGGATGTGGTTTGATGGTGGCCACTGTCAAAAAAATACTGTAAGGTATTTTATTTTCGCGGGTGTAGACCTCGGCCTTACAGTAGTTTAGGCCTACATCAAAAACTAACTCAAATACTGCATAGGGAATGTATTTATTGGTTAGGGAAAGGTGTCTAAAATGGGCCCAACCTAAAACAGGCCTCAACTTGTTCTGCTGCCCCCAATTTGTTAGGACAAAAACTAAAATAGTTGAATGATGTCGTATATAGATAGTAGATCCATTGGCTGTACCAAGTTTTATGTTTTTTGAGCAATTTAAACAATTACTACGACAAAGTATCTGAATTTCAATGTTTTACAATTTATTTTTTTTTGGAATTAAGTTGAAATTGAGGAAGTATCAACAATCTCTTACTGAGTGTAATTTCTGTTTTTATTAATGTCTAGTTATGAATAGTTATTAAGAGGAAAGTTAACAGCAGGAATGTTGATGGTTTTGCACCAATATCCTAAAACTGACCCTGGTTCTAGGTTATTGGGGGAGGGCCGTTTTGGACTTGAATAAACACGTACAGTAGGGTCTAGGCCTACATAGTGGCCTATTTTAGATGCAGCATTGTCTAAAATGGGAAATTTGATAGTGTTGTTTTTAATAGACATATTTTGTCACTTGAGTATTTGTTTATTATTAGTTATATATTAAATCAATTACATTTGTTGCAGTATCAGTTTGCAATCAAATTCCATTAGACACCTCTCCCCTGTATTCTGACATATTAGTAAGGCATGTCAAGTTCTAAATTTCTGCAAAATTTGTGTAGAAATGGTATAATATGGCTTTAAACTTTTATTGTGCATAGCACCAGGTCTATGCTTTTTAAATCGGCCTTATTTTCAAAATGCGCAGCTGGATTTTAGGCCCAAATTTCTGCACTTTGATAATTCCCCTCGCAGGTGAAATGATTGACTTTAAGTATTCACTTACATTCCTCTTTGAATTTCATTTCCAGTTGTAGCCTGGCAGTTCTGCTATCAAAATCCAGAGAGAGTGTGCTTGTTATATCTACAGATCCTGCTCATAATATATCAGATGCTTTTGATCAGAAATTTTCCAAGATACCAACCAAGGTGAATGGATTTGATAACTTGTTTGCGATGGAGATTGATCCCAACCTCGGAATGGCGGAGCTTCCTGATGATTACTTAGGAGAGGAAGGTGAGTGGTACGGTAAAGGGTGTCAACATTTCGTAACCCAAATTTTTTTGTGTCCCAGTCATTTTAATGAAGATATTTTGAGATTTGACCTTTGCTGGTTATAAAATGTCTTGTGGCAAAGAAATCCTGGCTATAGGAAAAATTTGCCGCCCATTAGGGCAAGTGGTCAACATCTAGCCACAAACTCTGTCTCACTTCTACCATTAGAATGAATGTTGAAAGCTCTAAATGACATCCCTAGATACAGAGTTCAGTAGACACAAATTTTTGAACACCACATCCTCATCAAAAAGCAATTAGATACAGTATTAGATATCATCCCAACAAGCATCTCTTCTGTCAGAATTTCCAATTTTTATTTTTCACTTTTAAAATACCTCCGAAGCAATATTCATTTATGTTTGTGGTGCTCTTATAGTTTGGAAGTACAGCCAGAATAACTTCTCATTGTTTCTGATATCCAGATTTTTGCATGCGTAACGAATAATACCGGGAACTCACTGCGTTGCACGAAGGTCGTACAATCCAACTCCGCTCCCTGTATGCGCTTGAACACGCAACGCCGTCTGCTGACCGTCGGTGGCAGTTTGAACGGATCGTCGTTAAACACGATTTGTTACATGCTTGACATTGCATTACGTTCTGCTTAGAATCGCCTCGACCGACAACCGTCGGAGGCAGTAAGTACGTGGCGTAACAGCTTTTCTTAATTTGGACAACTAGTCAACCATTTAATGGATAGATGGATGTATTAGACGGATTTGTTCGGTATAAACACCAAGGATATTCCTTTAAAGTCTGAAGATGACGAATGGATGTCTTGTGGAACAGGAAATCAAGATGTCCCTCACCAGTACCACTTGATTATGTACTGGCGGGAAATCTACCGATAGGTATTATGATGTATAAATACAATTTGGTTTTCTTTTTGTATGTTTAGATGCAATGAGTCTGGGTAAGCAGATGATGCAAGATATTCTTGGTGCCTTCCCTGGAATTGATGAAGCCATGAGTTTTGCAGAGGTCATGAGGTAAGAGATACAACAACATGTAGTTCGTGTGATGATATTAACAGAGTGTTAAATGCCCCCCCCCCCCCGAGGGGGCTCACTCTTAAATATTTCTAAACATGGAGGTGTTGCATTTATGGGGTATACTTGCGAGGACTTTGTAGCACAAGTGTGGGAAATAACGGGGTGAAATTGGAAGTTAATGTCCCTGGTCTATCCTGTGTCAAGTGACAAGATTTTTCGCACGATGTTGGCAGGAGTTTCAAGGTAAACTGGGTGCTAAGCCGGTAAGCACCTTGCTAAACCTACTTTTGGTACAGCCACAAGAATGCAACCGGATGGAACACTTTTTGCCATCGGGAACCACTCAATATTGCACCCTCTCTGGCACTATTGAGCCACCTTTTTCCTGTCGTCCTTAAAGCACAGTGTATTTTTGGTAAATGGTAGTTAAAGTCAAGAAGAATTTTCAGTAAAATAGGTAGCGCAAGTGTCTTATGTCTTGAAGTGGCTGCGCCCCCCCCCCCCTTGTTTGGTTGGTGGTATGCAAGTGAGCTCCCCGGGGTTAAATTTATTTGGTAGATTTCAATATAAACTTCACAGCTCATGACCACTTGGTCAAATTGCTTGTTGTTGGGATGAGTTGAAATTTAGTCATAGTAAAAAGGTAAAAGTATTAGAAAAATCCATAACTCTCAGCGTCACTACGCTGCATGTGACTACCTAGCCGCCATAAAGAGGCACTTTAATATAATAGTACATAGTTACATGTTTACTTAATTCCACAACAAGAGGGGCTGAAATGAACCATATCATCGGGAAATCCTATACCCTTCCGAAAGATGCAGTGGTTTCTTTAAAGTGCACACGAGCCAGATGAGTACATTTGACCTCCATTTCTTAAGTACTTATGCAAGAAGACCTGGTTCTAAAAACCGAACCCTGGGTGAGGAGTGGCTCAAACCAGAGCCGATGTTAACCTTTATCATGCTGAAAATCGTTGGTGCGTGACATTCTAGCATGCCAAATTACTTTTACAAAACTACATAACTCTAACCAAAAAACTATTTATAAAAAAGGTAATCGTCATAGCACATTATTATATATGTGATACTGGTTTGTAAAAAAAATTGTTTTACAATCAGGGAAATGTTCTGTCTCCGACATCCAATTTGGCCTATTACTTTGTATAGGCTAGGCTAGGCCTAACTTTGTCTAGGCCTAGGCTAGGCCCTAGTCCTACCTCGTCCCCGCTGCACCACCGGCGATATTAGCTTCTTCCCCATCATAACCATATCTCATCACTTTCACTAGCCTATAGAAACACCATTATAATTCCACAAAAATGTTAGTGATCTCTATCCACACTATTATCATCAAAAACATTGTGTATGGCTCATTCCACAGTATATCATTGCTGCGTGGCCATACTGAAACTTTCAAAAATAAGTTTACATTTTTGTTTGATTTATAAAATATTTTTCAATTAAAGTTGTCAAGATTATTGTTTAATTTGAAAAGTTCAAAGTGTAAGTAACCCGGATGCAAAAACAAATGAGTATCAGAATGATATATAGACAGTATAGAGGGCGAAATCCACGTATACTTGGATGTGTCGCACTAGTTCGCCTAGGGCATTCAATGGTAAATTTTTCGCTGTTGCACTATTGCTGTAGTTAGCTGCACCCCTGCCTTACTGATTGTCCACGCCAGAAATGCAAAAACTACATGTAATATTATTAAATTTAATTATTAATCTGAACCTTGTAAAGTTGTTAAAAATCATCAAATAATATGAAGCGCGTACAGAGAAGATTGTGCAAGCTTTCTTTGTGGCAGATATATATTTTGTTTTTCAATGTTACCGACACTGTCAAAGATCATATAATTTAACAACGTAGCGTAATCCACGTTTTTTTTTCGCATTACAAAATAGAAGCGTAAAAAGTTATTGTTTTATGAGAGAGAGCATCCTAGAAAGTGAGCAGACTACATTAATACCATGGTTGTTACAGAATTTGTGAAGATTAGGTCTTTGGTTGAAGTTTAAAAGAACTTGTTGTAAAGCTGGTTTAACACTAGGTGAATTTATTCGCGCGAATCAAAGCATCGGTCCGCTTCCAGAGCTTTGATTGGTTGCACATTTTTTCCCTTCGCAAAAACTCCGACAGGAATGTGAATGCACATGCACATGAACCGACGCTTTCGATTCGCGCGAATAAATTCGCCTAGTGGAAAACAGGTTTTAGTGTGTATTTAGCTGACCCGATTGTGAAGCGATTGTATGGAAACCAACCTTAACTGTCTTGTAAAATAAATCTTACCGGTATACCTACTTTGTAACAACTGAATTGAAATCAGAGATATAATCAGTGAACTCAATCCACAGTTCTGAGAAATTGATTTCTAAACGTTTCTTTATAATATCAATATGCCTTCAGTCTTTTAAATATTCTGTTAGGTACTTTGTTCCATATTTTAAAAAAAAATATATTATTGTAATCTTGATGGTATTTTACTCACATAAATCTCGCCAAATAATAATAATAATAAATTATTATTATTATTATTATTATTATTATTATTATACGGCATAGAAATATAAGCAAATCAAATAAGACTCAAATTGGAATCAGGTCAACATAATTAATTTTACTATCTGACTTCTTGCAGTATCAGTAATGTAATTGGGTTCTTTGTTTACTTGTAATATAATAATGCGTACGACAATATCAATATTTATATTTAGGTTATGCCAAGGACAGCTAAACCTTGTAATATTTAAACATATCGCGAGGATAGGCTTGTCTAGCTATATCGATTTCTAAATAAAAACATTTTAACGTTAATGTTGTCTTTTATAATAATGTAATATTAGTTTTGATTTTTTTCAACGTTTTTCTGTTAAATAAGTTTCTAATACAGTAATGTATTTTTATGCTCTGTAAATTATTAATAACGTTTGGTAAATTCTATGAATGAAAACAAATTATATATTATTTTTGTATTCAAATGTTTATGATTTTGCACAGTAACTGTTATTGTTAAGCCCGCTATGGCCTGTCTCTTATACACATCTAGATGTGTATAAGAGACAGATCTTATTGTTCCCTTTATCAAGTAGTGAGTTATAGAAATAATTTTTATGCTAGGCCCTAGCCTACAGGCGGATAAAATATTCTGACAGCCGGCAATTTTTACAGGTTACCGGCTATTAACAACAACCCTGTATATGTGATACTGGTTTGTAAAAAAAATTGTTTTACAATCAGAGAAATGTTCTGTCTCCAACATCCAATTTGGCCTATTTCTTTGTATAGGCTAGGCCTAACTTTGCCTAGGCTAGGCCCTAGTCCTACCTTGTCCCCGCTGCACCACCGGCGATATTAGCTTCTTCCCCATCATAACCATATCTCATCACTTTCACTAGCCTATAGAAACACCATTATAATTCCACAAAAATGTTTGTGATCTCTATCCACACTATTATCATCAAAAACATTGAGTATGGCTCGTTCCACAGTATATCATTGCTGCGCGGCCATACTGAAACTTTCAAAAATAAGTTGACATTTTTGTTTGATTTATAAAATATTTTTCAATTAAAGTTGTCAAGATTTTTGTTTATTCGAAAAGTTCAAAGTGTAAGTAACCCGGATGCAAAAACAAATGAGCATCAGAATGATATATAGACAGTATAGAGGGCGAAGTCCACGTATACTTGGATGTGTCGCACTAGTGCGCCTAGGGCATTCAACGGTAAATTTTTCGCTGTCGCACTATTGCGCCTACGACATGATAAGGGTTAAGGCTGTAGTTAGCTGCACCCCTGCCTTACTAATTGTCCACGCCAGAAATGCAAAAACTACATGTAATATTATTAAATTTAATTATTAATCTGAACCTTGTAAAGTTGTTAAAAATCATCAAATAATATGAAGCGCGTACAGAGAAGATTGTGTAAGCTTTCTTTGTGGCAGATATATATTTTGTTTTTCAATGTTACAGACTCTGTCAAAGATAATTTAACAACGTACGTAGCGTAATCCGTGGTTTTTTTTTTTTCCATAACAAAATAGAAGCGTAAAAAGTACTTGTTTATTGAGAGAGAGCATCCTAGAAATTGAGCAGACCACATTAATACCATGGTTGTTACAGAATTTGTGAAGTTTAGGTCTTTGGTTGAAGTTTAAAAGAACTTGTTGTAAAGCTGGTTTAACACTAGGCGAATTTATTCGTGCGAATCAAAGCATCGGTTCGCTTCCAGAGCTTTGATTGGTTGCACATTTTTTCCCTTCGCAAAATGTGAATGCGCATGTGCCTGAACCGACGCTTTTGGTTCGCGCGAATAAATTTGCCTAGTGGAAAACCGTCTTTGGAGGACACACACTAATAAATAAGTACACTGCGTTGATACAGAATTTGTACGTGGAGGGTGCTATTTTGTTGTTGAGAATTTGTAGCTTATGTGTAGTATTGTAATTTAAAATAGGTATATATATTATATGAAAACAATTATACAAATATTGTTTATATTACCATATCCCCTCCATTTTTTTTTTTTTATATCTACCAAAAAATTGTTTATTGTGTTGTGTCTTATTGTTCCTAGACTTGTTCAAGGCATGAATTTTTCAGCAGTGGTGTTCGATACAGCACCCACTGGTCACACACTCAGACTTCTGTCCTTCCCATCAGTTATCGAGAAAGGTCTCGGCAAGATCCTCCAACTCAAGAACCAATTTACACCATTTGTACAACAGGTATTTATGTTAACAGTATCACTGAGAGGGTGGGGATGGTGGGGTCCAGCGCTCCAGTTGTTGGTTCCACTGGAGGCCCAGAACAAAAAATGATGAATTTTTTCTCAAGATCTCTATCAATATGCCTTTAATATTATATCAAGCATTACATAATAGCCATATTTTTGGAGACTTTACCCCCATAGAGTCTCTGTGCTTGGATACTGCTGGGTCCTTTGCTGGCTTTCAGACTCCCACCATTGGTACATCAGTAGCTTTTTTGCAGCAGCCCGATTAATTAATGTGTAGTAGTCTTACTGCCGGGAATTATTCTTGTTTAGCAGTGCATTCACTGAAGACCAATGTAGGTGCAACTACAAAATATTCACATGTGCCCAGTTGCGAATTGAAACTTCTAGGTAAGAAAAAGTGCCTTTCCCAAGTGACGTGACTACAACCTCTCAATCCCCAATTCATATGAGTGCCATAAGGGGAACCCTTCCCCCTTCCCATTTAAATGTTCTTAAACAAAAAAAAGGGAGATAAAAAAGTAAATTATATTAAAATTTTCCTGTAGCCATAACCGCAAATTTCCTCCCCCACCCCTAAATTTTGTTAAACAAAAAAAAGGGAGATAAAGAAAGTAAATTATAATAAAATTTTCCTTTCCCCCACCCCTAAATTTTGTTAGACAAAATAAAGGGAGATAAAGAAAAAAAAAATTATTTTAACATTTTCCTGCCCCCACCCCTAAATTTTGTTAAACAAAAAAAGGGAGATACATATTACAAATATAGAAGAATATCTATCTATTGCACTTACGGAAAATATTAAACTGCAGTAGGATGGTTCAATAAAAAGTTCAAGATGAAAAAGGAAACACTTCAAAATTTTAAAATACATTTTTTTTTATTCAGATTATTTCAGACATACCCCCCCTTTTCCCTTCCTTCTCTCTTTTTTCTCTCTTTCTTCTTTATTTTTTTTTGTACAACACACAAAACAGAACAAAAAAGATTGAGACTTTGAAATTATTTATTTATAAGATGGGTCATATAGGGAAGAGGACTTGCGAAGTACCTATTGAACAGTTAAAGTAGTTCAAGACTCGCTTTTTTCTAAGCTTCATGGTAGAGCTATTACTGTTCCCTTGGAACCATTTTGTTCTGAATTCTGTGTTTTTGTACATCTTATGTGCATAGTTTCTACATAGAGTTTCTCTCCGATCCTTAATGGAGGTGATATATGCAATTTCGCACAACTAAGCTAAGATAAATGCGATTTTGTGAAAGTACATCAATACTGCTACTGCAATTCCGTAAAAAAAAACCTAAAACACAGTGATCTCCGTGTTTGGCGGTCAGAGTGTTAACAACCACAGTTTTGAACGTTGTTATTCTTTGTTTTAGGTTGGTGGTTTATTGGGAATGGCGGAATTCAATGCGGATACAATGACATCAAAGCTAGAGAGTATACTGCCAATAATTCAAAGTGTAAATGAACAATTCAAAAATCCGGTGAGTTTAAAGTTATTTCACATTATCCTCAAGGACATAAAATAATTTGTGCAGCCATAATTAAGACACAATATGTGGTAAAGACCAGCCAAACTAGTCACTTGTCACAAATCGTTTTCTAGAGATAATGACCGAAACATGCTGGAAGGTTTTACTGCATTAGAAACTAACCTTTATATATTTATACATCATGCTGTGCTGTTATTTTGCTTATTATCAATGATAAAACAACAATTTTTAATGATTTGGTGATGGTTTCTGCTTGAGAAATGCCTGAAATTATAAACTTTGAAGTCTTATTTCTCAAATAATGTTCAATAAAAAAACTGTATGTTTAAACTCTTGTAACTTCCTAAGGAAAAAGGTCAAATTTATATAATTCTTCTACCATTTTATAGCTCTCAATTTACTGTTTAACCTTGTATTAATAACTAAAAATCGATTTTTGCGACGAGTGACTGGTTTGACTTGTCTTTGCCACATATGTAGACATTGGGAATATATTTTATTTTTTCAATGTTTATAGAGAGTATAGTTCATCTACATAAACAAAACAAACCTAAAGCAAATGCACAATAGGCTTTTGTTTAAGCAAATTTGTAAAATTTCATTTGAAATACTTAATTGATCATTTACATCCCAGCATTCACTCATAACAAAGGCATCTTTCCATTTTCAAAATTGTGGCTATCTGAAAACCTCAAAATGCATTCATGAGAGTCTTAACATGACAAAGATAAAAACAAAGTAAAATACATAGCATTAAAGTCATCGTTCCTGATGATGGTTAAATAAAGTTGGAACATTATAGTAAATATAAGAAAGTATGGTACATACTCCAATTATTAATTATGTCATCATTCCTGATGATGACATAATTAATGTCGAAATATTGAATCCTAACATGATGGCGTGTATTTCAAAACTTGGAGTATGTATTATACTTTCTTATCTGAGATTAATCAGTGGACCTTTCGGTTTTATGGTAAATATGCCCTTACTTACTCGCTTCTGTTTTAATGTAAAAGGGTGATAAACAAGCAAATACAGTGGATTAATCTAAGCCCTTGTTTGCACCTAACACCAAAAACAGCATCAGATAGCTATTAATAAGCCTTTAAGACGTATCACTAAGTTATGTATTGAAGGTGACTTTGCTAACAGGCTTAAAACCCTTAATATAACCGATATGGTTCAAAGAATGAAATTTCATTGCATAATTTTTGTTTGCATAGTCTAAACGATCTTGATGTATTAGATTACCTTGTCATAAATGACCGATATCCTGAAACACTCACCTTTAAACATGTTTATGCTAGAACTAATGCTTATAAATATTTCCTGTTTGTGAAATTCCCGCGAATTTGGGATCATATTCCTCGTGATGTTCGTAATAAAGCCTTGTTCCACTTCGAAGGATTTAGAAGGGAGCTCAAAAAAGTGATCAATTATATTGAATTTTAATACTTTTTAAAATACTTTTTTAAGTAATCTTAGTTTGGAAAGCCACTTGACAGTGCGATTCTTTGAATTGATCCCACTTATGGCTACCCTCAGGTGCTGATTGTACTCTTGTTTTATGTATATTTTTGTGTTTTTTCATCTGGAAATTGAATAAAATAAAATAAAATAAAATGTCAAGGTTATCTTGAATGTATTTTGAATACATAAGGGGCGACTACCACCATTTTGACTATTAGATGACCCTTGCATAGTTTTCGGGAAAATGATGATGGAGTGTGTGGATTATTTATTTATTGCAGTATGTTCATTACAAAGGCTACAAGCATTATATTTTAAATTTTATCTTTCTATTTTAGGAGCAGACAACCTTTGTATGCGTATGTATAGCTGAGTTCCTATCATTGTACGAGACGGAGCGGTTGGTACAAGAACTGACTAAATATGGCATTGATACACACAACATCATAGTCAACCAGCTTATACTTCCCAACAACCATTTAACAGCGGCAAACTGCAAAATGTGTCAATCGAGAATTAAGTTACAAGCCAAATACCTAGATCAGGTGGGTACAACATCTTGACACCATTTCTTGAAAGTCAACGTTTTTTTAAGGTTCCTTCCCGTGTGCCAAAACAAGTTTATTAGGGTATGAGTAAACTCGTCGGTGCCACTGTGAAAGCATTTTTATTGACTATGCCAAGCGTGAGTTTTTCTGTCCGCTTTTAGCATAGGTTGGTATATGTTCAAAGGATGCCCCCACTTGTGCAGCTCGAGTGTACTATCAGCAACATAACACAAGAGATATATATACGTCATTGTACATTATCGCCTAGGTGTATCAGCCATTGAGTCTGTGTTTCTTCAATGTACAACAAGGAAATAGTAAACGCTAGAATGTTACCCCGATTTTGACGAGTATACTGGTCCCTGGCGCCCTAAGCAACACCCTTGTGGGACGAGTAAACCTGTTGCCGGCAGCCAAAGTGTTAAAGCATGTGAATAACAAACTAATGCTCATAATCTAAATGTCCAGATTTTCAAAAAAAAAACTGTTGTATGCTTTAATTATGTGCCTGTATATGGTCATGACGTGATGTCATCGTGACCATATTTAGTCATATCACATTTTCTTGTCAAATAAAATGTGATAGTCAGGACTGGGACTTGTATCTAAATTGAACATACTTAGCTCAACATCCTTTGATTGGCTGACATGCACCAATAGTACTTCTTTTCCCTTTCCAACATTTTCCCCATTTTAGTTTTATCAAAGAGTATAAAACTGCTAGAGGTCCGACTGCCAAGATTATGTATGCAGGCAGCGGAACGTTAAAAATGTACTGCCATGAAATAGGGGGCGCCCTATTCGAATTCGAATAGAGTTCGAAACTTGAACATGCACGCAGGACAAGTTCAATCATCGAACGTCTGTTAAGGTCACGCCCCTGGAAGTGGAAGTATCTCTTGAAATAGGATTGCGTTCCAATGAAACTATGGCAGTCGGACCTCTTGCAGTTATATACTCTTTGGTTTTATTTAAGGTATTGTTTCTTCCTCTCTGCAGCACCCTTCTAACATACTGTTAGTCAGTACCTCATGACTTGCCTTCCGCCTCTACAAACTTCTCACACAAACTGCCAGTTCCTGGGTCTTTCAATTCCAGAATGCCGGCCAACAAATCCATATATTTTGTCTAAGTCTTGTCTTTTTTTTTCTGTTTATACTCGCGTATTAATTGACTCTGGAGAAGAATGTCACATTGACAGGAATTTTAGTTGGGACATTTGAAACCATGTAAATGCTAGTAAATTATGGATATCAGTTGAATGAATGATTGATTGATTGATCGATTGATGCCTATTCATGTCAGATTACATCCTATATTTAATTATCATCTTTTTAAGAATTGCTGTTATTTTCTTCTTTATTTTCAGATTAATGATTTATATGAAGATTTCAACATCACCAAATTGCCACTTCAAGAATTAGAAATTAGAGGGAAAGACAAGGTGGTAGCTTTCTCAGAGAAGTTGTATACACCATGTACATTTTAGCTATTAATAAGTTTTATTTTAAAAGGAAGTTTATGGTATACCGGCCAACTGGTATACATCTTGCTTACACTTTTTCCACATTTAGCCAGTTGCAGTTATCCCAAGTCACCCGCAAGTCACCGCAGTCTCTTGGAAATCGGAACAGACTACATCAACCAAACAAGAATCTCTCGGGAAATTACCTAACTCCCGCAAATTAATTAAAATCTGCACGTTTTTACAACTGTACTACCCCATTATTAACATTAACATTAAAACAAAACTAAACGTGCTAAGGAAGCTTGTTTGACAGATCGGGATGGCGAGTTGGATGGCTGAGCGGTTGAGGCTGGGGCACGGCAACCTACAGCCATAATATCGGCGCTGGTTCGAATGGCACACTCACCTATGGTTCTGTTGGTGGAACAAGTCTTCTCGTATAAGAACTACTGTATAAATCGTAGGCCCATTGTACACAATGGCTTATGTGCACTATAAAGAACCCATTACATTTTTAAAAGATGGGTTACCCCGGTGTACTGGTTCATAGAGCCCCTATTGTGCTCAGACAAGAGATAGCTAGTACTGGTTTACAGGGTAGCTCAAACACAAAGAGACCCTTAGGGGAGAAGAATGTTACTGTGTGAGCTATTCCACACTTTGAGCGCTTCTGTATAAAGTGCTATATAAATTCAACCACATTACATTACATCTTGGAAATGACTTCTTCCAACTTAGGACGACTGCAGTTGATTATTCAGGTACACTTGAAGCCACTACTGATTGTAGGTGTAAGCTAATTGCTAAAGCATTTTTTTTATAATGGTGCCAGTTTCAGGGCATTAAAGTATTTAATATATTGGTTGAACTATACCCTAACCAAGTAGTCAAACAATCCAATTTATATATACAATTCAATTGTTGAAAATAATAATGTTCATTACATCTTACTATATATACATTTTGGTTTAATAAGTATGTTAAAATGATACTTGTACACTTTGGACTTTGAGGGAATAAATAAGAGTCAGCTAATTTATTTATTCAAACATCTATGGCAGCAAAGCTGAATTGAAGAGGTGCTCAAAAAATCATACAGATATTAAAATCTGTAGCTACTAGAATACAATGCAATATGACAAGAATTAAAAATATTAAATAGTCAATAAGAAATTACAAGAACAATGAATTATATAAAAATTATTTATTTTCACCCAATTAGAGTGTTACCGGTTTGGCGCTAGCAAAGAGTCCGAAGGGGGAAAATATTACCCCTGTCGGGGATCTCTGGACCCCCTGTCTTGGATTTTCCAGCAAGGTCGTCAGGGAAAAATCAAATCTCGAGTGCCAAAGGTACAAGCATGCCCAGCTAAACTGTCAAATTTTAGGGATTAAAAACTGTTTAGTGTGAGGTGCTGTATACTATTGCAATCGAATGCGTTGCAGTGATGGCGCCAGCTCTTCTCCAACAGGGAGACCAGTACCTTGATAGAGTGATTCTTAACTTGCATGGTTTTCTATCTAATTATCCTATTTAAATAAAGGATCCCATAATTAACACAATGTTATTATTTTTTAATAAAAAAAATTCTCCTACAACTTTTATTTGGGGGTAGCGACTTGGGGCTTCTCTGACAGCGGGTGTAGACCCCTTGGCGGGGATGTTGGTCCCCTCGGCGGGGAATTCCTGGCACCGCCACCCCTGAGTATTACTTTAAAATATCAAAGAATGGTTTTTAATAGAAACTTTAAGACTAATCTCAAATGCAATAAATTGCTAATTTTGATTGAAAAGGACATAAAACAATTCAATGAAACATCAAGAATTAAGAAAAGACATGCTTTTATTTTGTTCCTCTTTGAGTACTGTTATTATTTATCTATTTCTTTATATTCTGTTATGGTGCTACAAAAGCCAACTAAATTTGAATATTATTTACTATGATTTCCAAGCTGAAACCTCGGTAAAAGCTTTTTCTATCTTAACCATAGCTCCACTATGTATGTGAGCATTTCAGTCTGTTGTATGAGAGAAGGTGCCTGGGAGTTAGATCTGCACATACACCTTTGTGGTCTAAAGGTATTATACTTACCTTGATAGTAAGAGGTTGCAGGTTCGAATCCCACCAGACTTTTTTTCACACAATTGACAAAAAGGAACTTTTCATTGAAAAGCTATGCTTGATATGATTATAACATCATCTTCCTATTTGAGCACTGTTATTATTTATTTGTTATACACATCTAGATGTGTATAAGAGACAGCCCTTAGGGGAGAAGCAAGTTACCGTAAGAGCTATACCCAATATACTGCCCAAAGTGAAGCCACAACGATAGCTCATTTATCGTTGCCATGGTTTACACTAACATTTTTGAATTTGTTATTATTTTGCACATATATTATCATGCAATTACCTCAGTATGCTCTTTTAAGTATTCAAGTATTCATAAAATATTAACAAAAGTAACAGGAGTAGTCAAAATATTTGTTGGAATAAATGTTGCTAAAGTTCCGTTCTCATTTTGTATTAAAAACTTTCAGATCAGACGTATGAGGAAAGATTAGCTTGGGCCTTATGACCACTGAGGCCAAAAGGATTACTTTAACTTTACTATTTGTTTGTTGCCAATATTTTGAATACAGTAAATTACAAAACTGTTTTATTTTAAGTAAATTAACTTTTAATAACACATAATCTTAACTTTTAAGCACATTAGTTCTGAAACCAAGTTTTTCATCCCAACAAGATTTGTTCGAATGTGGAATAGGCTTCCACATTAGTACAGGAATGCATTTACTTGTGCTGGTTGTGATGCATTTAAAGGTAAATTTAAAAATTATAAATCTATAGGTTTTGAGTAATTATTGTTATTGTCATTATTATTACTCTTCTATTATTATTATTATTATTATTATAATGTGCTGGTGTAGCGCGTCATGTTGGTGACAGTGGTTTCACCTTTAATCCCTCGACACACCTAACCATATTTTTTTTTGTAAATGTTGAAATGAATAAAATAAAAATATAGTCCATGGTTTACCAGGTACCCTGTAATTTAAAGATGTACTGCCATATATATTAACAGTATGTGTATTGAGGTAGAACAAGATTTGGATTGATACCAGTAATTAAAATTACATTTTTGAATTAATGTTTATTAACACTGGTAGCCTGCCTCTGTTATGTCATCAATTATTATCATATTTTGTTTATATAAACAACAAATTTAATACTCCTATTCGTTTTGTGTGTTTTTTAAATTTTTTTATTGAATTTATCTTACTTTATGTTTGGTGTGCTTATCACTGAGGCGTGGAGTGCAGTGTTGTGTGGTGATCCATGATTTTAATTTATATAACGTAAAACCTCGAATTGAAGCCCTGGGCGTATGACAACCTCTCTGAAACAAGTTTGCAAAACAAAGTATAAAAAAAAGTCAACAACAACAACAAAATTCCACTACTATTATTTGTGTCACTTGACAATATTCAGCCTCTCTCACAATAAATCCGTATTTTTTTACATGAAAGGAGGAGTTGAATATAAGTACCCTGTTTCAGAGCCGACTGTATATTAATCAGAAGGCCTTGGATCAAACTAATAGAATAACCAATTTGAAGCTAATATCCTGGGTTTTTTTTTTTTTTTTCAAATTATGTATAATTTCTGTTCGGTGACATCACCTATAAAAATATATTATGTTTATCAGAATGTGTCATACCTTCTCCTTATCCGTTTTTTCCTGCTTATATCACATAAAATGGTGAAATAGACTTACGGTATGCTAATCCTGGTCTAAATATGCTTAGTACAATGGTCCGTCCGCGAAAATGGGTTTCTGTCTAGTCAAAAGGGTTTGCAAACGGTGCGTGAAAAATATTGGCGTCCGCTAAGCCTTTATTTAGACCAATATTTTATGATTAGGTTTTTCTCTTTCAACAATGTGATAAACAACGTGTTGCTAATCAATAATTATCTATAGCTTTAAAGTACTTTTGTGGCGAATCATCCTCTATTCTTATCATGTTATTAGTGGAATATCGACCATGAGTAAACTTAGACTTGGGGGTCAGCGAATGCAAAAGGTCGGGAACCACACCACTAATATTGTGCATATATTGTTTGGTAATCTATACAATGCTTCACATAGTTACGAACTTTATGGCATCGCGTGCGGGACGGTAAGGAGTTATCATGAATTTAGGGGATCTATAGGCCTATTTGAAGTAAGAAGAATTTGGTTTTATTAGAGATATGAAAACGGTCATGCAGTATAGCTTGTAATTACTGGTGGCGTCACGCTCGGGCGCTGACCGGGGTGGGGGCGGAAAGCCAGTTCCCCTAGGCACGAGGGATCCCGACATTGTAGTTAAAAAATATATATAATATAAACTATAATACCATAGTTTCATTCAATGGGGCCCCGACAGTTTTAAACATTGATAATTCACTGGCCTGGCCAGGGGTGGCGCCAGTGGGGCGTCCATCCCCCCCCCCCCCCGTCGGGGAGAAAAAGCACAATTCGTCGGGGAGAAAAAAAAATTATATGTATTTTCTACATATTAGTTGACTCTAAAATCGATAAAATAAGGCTCTGAAACCCCAAAATTTTCGAGGGCTTCACCCCCTGGACCAATTTCGAAACTTTTTAATCGAAGCTCGACCACGCCCACTTTGCTTTTCTCGTCAGGGCATCGCCCTCCCCCCCCTCCCCGTCGGGCAAATCCTGGCGCCACCCCTGGGCCTGGCATCATCATATGCATTATCTCAGGGATCATGTAAACGATCGTTGCAGTTTTTTTACCATTCTATGTTCTCTGACAACGCAGTTAACGGCTTATAAATGCCATAAGCTCTGAACCCCCTCGGACCTCGACCAGGGGCAATACGCGGCCCTCTGGCCCCAGTGCTTGTTTGCTCCGCTCGCAAACTTAACGGTCCCTTCGTCGCTTATTAGAGGGGCCCCCAATAACAGTCACCCCAGAGCCCCACAAACTCCGTGTGACGCCACTGTTAAAGAGCTTTCTTTGTCTCGTTCTAGAATCAATTCACCTAAAATTTCTCTTTCCTACGTAAATCGGACCAAACAATTGCCAGTTGTGTCAAGAAACAAAAAAAAAAATAAAATAAATAAATAAATAAAATAAAATCGTTTTAAAACAGCTAGCTTAAAACACTCAGATCGTCGGAGGGCCGGGGTAAATTACCTATATACAAGAGTCAAATGCGCTTGCCTTATTATAATTTGAGCCCTATGTGAAAAACCGTGTAAAGTTAAGATTGGTTTTCGGCACATGAAATAGGTAAGGACCCATAAAAAAATTTAAAAAAATTAATTTATCACCCCTATTAAAGAATAAAAACTGATGAGGGAGGGAGGTTTTTTGGGGTTTTTTTTATTTTGTTTTTTTATAACTAGCCCTGCCTCCATTTTACCAATGTTTACAATTAAATCAATGGTTATGGACACAGTCATATATAAAAATTCATAAGATGGAATCATATTTATATTTAAAAAATATGTTTTTGTTGTACCAGTATAGGCCTATTTGCAAGAAATCCTAAGCTTTTCAGGTGTGAAAGAAGATGGAAAAATGACAGTTTTTTTATTTAACAATAGGCCCTATATGTTTATTGAAAAAAAAATATCTGAATTCCCCCAAAGGGATGAGGGAGGGGTGATAAACTAATACTTTTTTAATGGGCATAAAGTAAATTAATACATCAAAGACAATTAAGTTTTATTTTCTATGTTACATCGATTAATTAGGTCTCTGATTGCCGAAAATCGCTGACAGATCATGAGATATTTGTTGGCGCTTCATTTTGACTATAATGGTGATGAGATAATGATGAACTTTTTACTATATAAGAGCGTCATTTATGGCCATCTAGAGGTACTAATTCCCTCAAATTTTCAAACCTCAGCCCCAAACCTTGGTCAGGCTAAGGTAAGTGTGGACTCACGAAATGTCCCCAACCTTTCAAAACAGCCTAACAGTGCACTTGGCTGCTTGTACTCTCACCGTTACTCGGCTTTTTTTTACATTTCTCAGTCTCTTTTCAACCTGGCCCTTGACCCCGATATTTCTACCCCATCAGGCATTAAGAAAGCTTTTAATTTTTTAATTTATGTAATCGTCTTAATGTTTTTGCAGAATGCTCGTCTTAATTATAATTGCTTTTAAATGCGTCATGAGCTTCATAAGGCTCAAGTACCAATAATCTGATTGATTGAAATTGAAATAACCTTACATGTTATTTTGTCGGTGATTGTTATTTTCAGTGTATACGCCCTTTTCTGTTTATATGTTTATTTCATTTTTTATTATTAGGCCTAAATGTTGTTGACTTTCCAAGTTTGTAGATGAAATCAATACAAATGACGCATTGGTTAGGGAGTATTTTGGTGTGAATCACACCCATGATCCCACTAATCTGAAGAACTGTTTCCAGTGGGATCCTTCATGGGGGTGAATTGGGCAGTACATTAGGAAACATTCCCTACTCTTTTCTGAAAAATGTTACTGCGTACGTTCTTTAATGCGTGCACACATGGGCCATATCACATTGTGCGCACGGGACCAACGGCTTTAACACGTCTCATCCGAAAGACGGTGCGCTATCGTAACTTGTATTCTCAGCCCTCCGGCTGAAACACAAGGAGAGGCAGCAATAGGAATTGAACCGGGGACTAGAGATCTCCACGTTCCATTGCACACGCCAGTGGCTTAAACTAGTTTAGCCGTCTGAGCTAAGCTGCTCTCCGTGAATACAGATTATTGGATCTTCATGTTCCACTGAAATGTGTATTTTCGTCCCAGCATTAATTATTTTATCTTTTATTTGGATCAGTCAACTTGCTAATGGCCATCAATGACTTGTTGTACTGTACCTGCTCTGTCTTACTCAATCCACACTTATGTTTCATCTGTTGCAATGTAATAGACCTACTTATTATTATTATTATTATTATTATTATTATTATTATTATTATTATTATTATTATTATTATTATTATTATTATTATTATTATTATTATTATTATTATTATTATTATTATTATTATTATTATTTTCATTATCATTAATTATTGTGTACAGTAGAACATACTACTGAAGCCGTTTATGCGCTTTCCAGAATATTAGAGAAAAAAGTAGAGCAATTAAAATGCAATTGCCAGAAATAAGTCAAAATCTTGGTTAACGTGAAAAGGCGGAAAAAGAAAGAGATAATCAAAATGTTGGTGAAAGTAGAGTCAGTGGCGAATCCAGGCCAATTTCAAATAGAAGGGACCCAAGGAGGGACTTGAATATCAGGGCCAATCACCACCTCAGCCCCACCATGATTGGGGCAGTGAGGTTAAGACAATTTACGATGATTATATGTCACCTAGATGGCCGGAAGTGGCACTTTCATACTTAAAATTTAAATGTAATTTTCTTTTTTTTTCTCAAATTTTTTACAATTCTGGAAAAATTAAGTGTGACGGGAGGCGGGGGGCGGCTGGGCTGGTGAAAAAGCAAAACAGAATATTTAAAAAAATTACGGAATTCACCATTGAAAAAAAATGCATTTAATTTTCATTTAATTAGTTATTGTTTAATTATTATTAGAATTACATATTTACTACAAATAAACAAGAGCAATTTAGTCTGAATACAAGCTAAAAAATAGCGCCTATTTTGACTACCAGACAAAATGTAAATTAACAATAACAATGTATCATTTGTGTGTATGCAACGTGGAAAAAAGTGGAATACGTGATAGCGCCATCTATATTGATCTAATCAACATAAGTTTAAAAACACACTGAATCGCCAATCATTTATGCTAATAAGCTGTCTCTCTGATGGTGCCCGGCGCCCCAACATTGATCTGAAGGTTTTTAGAGACTTTTGCGCGACCGAGGTGGTACTTCACTTGATCCAGTATTCGTGTGTGGAGTAACTGTCACTTTGTTTTGTTTGGACATTACTAATTTATTTAAAAAAAGACAGGTATGTATTATCGTATTATTTTCGGTAACCGATGTAATTTTTAGTGATTGATAATCATCCAAGATAAATCCGAATCGATGCCGTATGGTAGTATAATATTTTGAAGGGAGGGCGGTGTGGTGTGCAGCTTCCGCCCACCGATGTCAGTTCCACACCACCCGCACAAAAAGGGCTACGATCAGGTGGCTGCGATCTGCTCTGAAAATTTAATGATGTCTTCACAAATTGTAGTTTTCTCCAATCATGAACGCTAACATATCTGAAATTTCATTAAAATAAACTACCTTCGTTTTTAGCACTGTGAATTGCGTATGTCAGCATCAGCATGGCAATCGCTGCCTTGCTGTGTGACCTTTTTATCGATATTATTAAGGACGGCATTCATTATGTATGAATGATTAGACCTTATTTCCATATTAAATAATGCTCGCCACTTTCTTCAATAAGATATGGCTGAATGCGAAATAGTATTAAGTAAATCGATCAACCGCGTCCTTTCAATAAGCTGCTAAGAAAGTCCTTACCAGAGCAAACCAAACGGAGATAGCTCACATTGGTAACAATATTTGAAGGCCTGTTTTTTTTCTCTACAAATGAGACACGAGGGAGGATTACAGGTTTGTCATTAGAAAGATAAAATCTCTATATAATAATATAAAGTTATTTCCATAATGAGTGTATTTGTAGGTTTTGTAATCACAGTTGTTAGATAAGATTAAGAAAATGTATTTTAAGATACAATCTAATGTCAGACGATAGCAATGGTGATAGGGCCAGGCTTAAAATTTAATTGTCAAGGGGAAGCTCCTTTGCTTTCAAATGTCAGAATGTTTAAAACGTTGCATACAAAATGATGTGCATAAATTTCATGCACGCTGAATCTTCGACACAGTCTCAAGATCACTGAAAACATTAGTCATCGTATATGCAGTGAATAAAAACCAATGGATGAGTATAAAACAATTAAAATTATGTTAGTATATATGAATTAAGGTTTATGTATAATATTGAATTTTAATTTAGCTAATATTGATATGAAAAATTTACCAGTTCTTAGATTACTATTTTATGGAAAATATAAATAATAAAACAAATTAAAAATTTGTTTTTGGATAAATGATTTTATTTGTAGTCAGTGTTCTTCTGAAGCCAGATTTGGCGGTATTATTTGCTGGGCAGAATAAAATTGAAATAAGAAAAGCTTTTTTTCTTTAAATTATAAATTTCAAAATACAGAAGGGGTGGGGGACAGCTAGCCTGGGTCTCTCTTCCTCCCCCTTTCCTCCTCCCCACCCCCCTTCCCACCAAGATCTTTATTCAACTTAAGCCTGAGAGTGTCATTTCCAGTCATCTAGAGGTGACAATAATAAATTTTCTCACCTGAGTCCCACCATGGTCGGCCTAAAGCTAGACCCTCCATCTGTGAACGTCCCTCCCTGGGATCAAACCCCTCTATTTTAAATTTTGGCTCCACCATTGCATTAGTGTCATAATCATAAACCTGTCGGTTGATGCTGCATGTTCCAAAAATATGAAAAGATTTTTTTTTTTTTTTTTTTTTTGCCACAAGTACTGTAGATGACTCTACATTGTGAATGGTACAGTATATCCAGGGGCAGATTGCTATATTTAAAACGGTCTTAACTGGTAGTCTTAACTCCTCAAATAAGGCCGGTTTATCACTTAGTCTTCTTACTAAAAATCACTCCACTAAAGACCATTGCTATAAAGTGGTCTTTGCTTACTGTAGACCACTTTGAGTCTTGAAACGCAAGCAAGCACTCCCTGGTAACATAAAATTGAGAGTGCTGTTACGCGTCCATCACACTTGCCCATCACATGCACATGTATTAGAATTTTGTTTTTATCTGACACTAAGAAGCTTGCAGAATATTCATCGTTCGATTCTCGGTTTTTGTCGATCTAGACCTACTGTACAGGTCTAGTACCTTTAACGCCATGTTGAAAATGATTTACAGTAAGACCGTTTTAACCTTCCTCCGAGTAGGTTTTAAAATTTAAGACTCCTAACTGTTTAGACCGCGGTATAGCAATGGTTTATAACCGTAGACCAGTAGTGACGCCACAATTATAGCTGGCTAAGCGTTAACACCTTCTAAAGACCGCTATGAGCAATCCGTCCCTGGGTATCAAAGATCAGACAAACCAGTCAGAGGAACTACTGTAACCTTCATGTTTGTTAACATTCAAAAGGTTTTTTTCTGTTTTAAGTTTATCATTTTTCAGCTTCATATATATTTCATTTTCTCCAGTTCGTTCGTTTCCACAAATCCTTATTTGTGTCATGCAAGTAGAGTAGTTAGATTGCACAGTAGCCTATAGTTTAAAATAATAATAATAATAATAGTAATAATAATATTAATAGTAATAATAATATTAATAGTAATAATAATAATAGTAATAATAATAATAATAATGATAATAATAATAAAGTATTTTTAAAGTGCTCTATACAATACAGAGTGCTACAGTAGCTGACTGTAGCATGTAATATTAAATAATAATTGGAACGATTGATTGATTTAATACTGACACCAATTTTTGAATTCTGGAGACAAATCTTGATAATTTCTGAAATTATGGTTGTATGTGGTATTTGAAATATTGTGCGCAGCTACTAGGGAAATGAAATGAAACATTTCATCATCTAGGATAAAATTGTGTGATTTTCTGTAAAAAAATTTTTTTTATAAAATTACTTAAATTAATCCAAATAGATGAAATATTACAAGTAGACTACAGTAAAAAGGAAATAAAAATTGTTGCATTGAAGTCCAGTCATAAAGTAAGATGTACAGTATTATATTATTGAAAATTTAAAAAAAAAATGTTTTTCTTAATTTACAAACTGATATCAAATTCTGTATTTGAATTTTATACATTCGTTTCCATATTATAAATTAATTTCAATCTAATGAATCATCTGGTCGATTATTGCACATTATTGCATGTTTAATCATCTTGGACTAATAATAGTAACACCGGACATGTGAATCACTAAACTGTAGTGATAGCTTGGTGTAGTTCATGTGCTTATTATAGTACTTATATTTTGGTGCGCCTTCTTTGTGTTTAATTAGTGTTTCAGTGCTCACAATTTTTTATATGCCAAATCCATTAAAATTGCCATTGCCCAGCTGCTTTTATGTTCCAGAATGTGTTTCTTTGTAAACAAACTCCCAAATATGGAATTTTTATTGACTAAGATCGATGCATCTAAACATCTGAAGTTTTGATTCTGTCATTCTTTCGCACTACAAATAGCACTGATATTCATGTTGTACTGTGCGTATTCTACAAAAATCTGTAGCCACGTCAAATCCAGTGTGAAAAGGATTAGTGTGTCTGCGATCCAGGAAACATAGCAACACACAGTGCCACTGAAGAAACATGCATGTGACATGCTCAGTACATACATCAAGCTTTATGCGCCATAGTTTCAATTATGTGTGCGTCGCATTAAACGAGTGTAAACAATTGGCTAATGTGCACTATAATAAAGAACCCAGTACATCTTCGAGAAGAGTTGGGAGTACTCCGGTGTATTGGTCCATACAGCCCACGTTGTGTACAGACGAAAATAGCTGGTGCTGGTTTTACCGGTTAGCTCAGACACGAAGAGATTCTTAGAGATGAAAGTTACTGATACTGTATTACAGTACCTACTGTAGTCCATGATTTGTTGAGCGATCTGAACTTTATGAATAGCGCCAGATATAAATGCTGTAATGTATTAAGTTGACACTACCTTCAACATTAAATTATGCGTAATTGAGACTAAAAATAGGCTTTAAATCCAGACTCCGGAAGAATAACATTTTTTGATATGTATACAACCGATATTTCTATTAAGACACGAAAAACATTTGACGATAAACTCGGAAGCGGTTAATGAGATATACAGATTTTGAATATTTAAAAGCTGGGGGAAACGAAGCGTAACCACCCTTTTTTTCTACCTTTTCCCCAGTTTTTAACTAACTAAAGTTTGTCTCACTAATCGCTTCCAAGTTTTTCGTCAAACATGGTTTTTGTGTCTTAAAAAAAGTCAGTTGTACAATCAAAAACAAAATTTTTTTATTTGGAATAAAGACAAGCTATGTTGTTTCATCGCACACATTAGTAGATATCAGTAGATACACACTCCACAAAAATCAACCGCTATTTAGCAATGAAGCCACACCTAAACACAGCAGCTGGTCGAAGGTCACCAAAGTTGCTCTTGATTCAATGATTCATAAAACAATAGTCAGGTCTGACAATTTGTTGACTTAATTTTCAAGTCTTAAAGTACTGTATAATCGGTGAATGCCATTGCTTAGTAAATTACTGTAATTATGGTTCAGTAAAGTGCAAAATGGATATCATCAATAACACATCTGTTTTCGTTACCTTCATTAACAGAGACTACGCTTTAATCCACACATTGGCTGCATTTAATTTATACAATTTTTACTGTAAGTGTTGCTGAGTACTGTATGTCCATAGCATGATTTTTAATTCTTCCATTAAAGAAACACTACTTCTGCCAAGTCTTCTGTGAGGCATTGTGAAAGCAGTGAATCATTCACATTATACGGTTGGAATACGAAGTTGTGGTGGTCACTGAACGCATCACTGCAGTACTGCATTTTATGGATTATAGTTTTTAAGAAACATATACTGTACTAAGTGGCAAATTCATGGGGGGTGGGAAGATGTGGTTGGGGTAGGGACTAGCTGGCCCTACCACATCCCTAAATTTTTCGAAATTATTAAGTAATTGGAGAAAAAAGAAAAATTGTAATTAAATTTAGGTCTGAGTTTGCCATTTCCGGCCATCTAGAGGTGCCAAAATCATAAATTGTTTTTACCTCAGCCCCAACCATGATCTAGACCCTCCGTCTCTGAAGGTGTCTCTCAGGGCCCCTATATTTCAAATTCCTGGATCTGCCACTGGTGAATCAGGGGAATCCAAAGAGCGAGATCACAGACATCAC